CGCCCTCCCCGCATCTACTTCTTCCAACACTGTTTGTTCAACGTTGGATGCCAACAAGCCTCACAGTGCTTCCGGCAGAGAAAGGGCTGTGGTCCGAACGCACACTAAGGCCCTGCGGCGGCAGGCCCCCTCGCCCGATCGGAAAACACTTACTCTAAATGCCTCAACCAGTGCAATGCAGTCGCTCTTGCTGTTGCCGGAGAAATTCACTTTGTTCCTACAGAGAACAAACAGTGTCATCCGATGCCCTTAAAAAGTGGCTTTTAAAAATAGGAATGCCAGGGGCATCTGGGTGGATCAGTCTGCTAAGCATCCAACTCTTGATTTCAGCTCAGGTCATAATCTCACCGTATGTGGCGGAGTCTGCTTGGGATTTTCTCTCTCCTCTCTCTCTCTCACTCTCTCTCAAAATAAATACTTAAGAAAACTATATATATATCTATATATCTATATATATATATATACACACATATATATATATATATGCACACACATACACACGAACGCTAAATACCTGTATCCATCAAGATGCTGCCTAAAAGGCATTGCAAAAAAGTTCTTCAAGGAAAGCGCTGCAGCTAAAGAGAAAAACAAAGATGAGGTGAGGCTGGTAGAGCGGCAGTCCACAGCCCTCCCAAGACCTCCCTGCGCCCACACTTACCTATAATAAGACACTCATCAAGACATCCAAATACGTGCCCAAGGACTATGAGTTTACCGAGCTGCTGATTAACAGGAAGCTGGGCCAAAACTCTTCCTAAGAAGGTCAGTTCACCATCGTGGGGGTTCTCATCCTCTCTCTGCCCACTCACTGCAAGTGCTCCAACCTTTACGAAATAAATTAGTGCTGTTAGCAAGCACAGACTTCTTCAGGTTCTTTTTTCCCAAGAGGCAGGCAGTTTAAACAGGAAATGAAGACCACATCTTGGTAAGACTCTGAAAGACATCTAAGTTGACTTATGAAAAACTGATGCTCCCAAAAAAAAGTCTTTTTAATTTGCTTTCTGGAATTTAGAACATTTTCTTATTTTTTAAAAAGAGCGGCACTGGGAGGTAATGCTTGAGATACTCCCGCCAAAGTCCACGTATGATTCAACAAGTATAGCGCGCACGACATTAAACCGCAGACCTGACTACCACGTCACACACGACATGACGTATTCAACTGTCTGTGGGAGAAAACAAAGGTATCTAAGTGTTTCAAAGCAGAGGTGAAACACCAGAGCGCCCCCAACTTCAAGGGCCAGAAGACCATCCGCAGCCCCAAGAAGCGGCGCACAGGCCAAGGCCCAGGCCACGGGCAGCAAGAGCACGGCGGGTTGGGGGTCAGGAGCCCAAGAATCCAAGGGGGCAGAGCAGTTTCCGGCAAGGGAAGGAGCCGGCTAGAACTTCGTGCAGACAGGACTTCGGGGAAGGGCCATGGAGCTGGTGGACGCCAGCAGGCAGGCACGGTCAGGCGGAGCCGCCCCGAAACCCTGCGTGTCAGCCCACAACAGCGCCCTTTAGACGCTCGTCCCGCACGCCCTGTGAGGAAGAAATACTCACACCCCACTTGGCATTGGCATTCGTTACTTTCACATCTGCAGAAACCCCTCAGCATCACCACACGCTGCGTCTCCTCCCCTCGTGGCAGCAAAGGCCAGCAGACGGCATGGGGGCTGGGAGGGGCCCGGGGAGGGGAACCCAGCAAAGGCAAGAGCCTCAGCGAGATCACCCACAAAACTGGGGCGAACAACAGGTATGGAGCCTGGTACCGACGACGAGGCATTACAGGTGCTTTTTAAAGCCAATGCTGATTGTTTAGGACCATCAAAATACTTTAAAGATATCCATGTCACAAAACTTCCAAAATTTACCCAACAAAATCTTAGCTTTCCCAGCACTGACGAACATCACGCAGGCCTACCTCCTTTAGCAGAAGGATGGTTCGTTCAATGCCACCCAGACCAGGTGGAGAAAGGGCCGTTGCCAGCAAAGCTCTCGGTTCACCCATATCCAGCAATTTCACTTTCAATATTGTGCTTCCTAATGGACAACGCTGAAAAGAGCAAAACATTTAGAAACAGAAGAATTAAAGAAATTAACCTAACCTACCTACACATGACTAGTACTTCAGAGACAGATGCAGGAGAGAGGAGAAGAGAAAAAGAAAGAAAAACAGAAGATGGAGAGAGACAAAGGGTGAGAGAGGAGAAAGAGAAGAGACAGAAAAAAAAGATGTGCAGGCAAGGGAGAGAGATAGGGCAGGAGAGGAGGGGGGGAGAGACAGATGGGGAAGGAGGGGGGAAGAAACAGATTGGTGAGGGGGGGAGGGGGGAGAAAGAAGGAAGAGAAAGAGAAAGACAAGGAAGAAGAGAAGAGAGGACAAAGAGGAAGCCGGCGCTGACCCCACGCTTAAGGGCCATAAAGGGGCTGGAGCCCGTAGGCACAAGGAGCCACTCCTCTCACTACAAATTTAACAAGCGTGCGCAGTCCTGGCTGAGCGCGGGGCGCTCAATAAATGGCAAGCCAGCACTGTGATTAAAGACTAGTTTGGTCAGACAGTGACTTCCCTGGAATCAAAATTGTTAACACCTAACACTGTATTACCTAGACCATTCAATAAAACTCTATCTATAAAAAGCAAACTTCGGAAATGACCAAAGAGCATTACCAACATCTCGGGGACAACGTGGTCTGGGATGGAGCTGTCCCAGAAATCCCTGTGGATCAATCTATAGCAGTGCCCTTTAGACACTCTTCCCGCACGGCCTGCGAAGGAGAAACATCCAAACACCATTTGGCATTAATCACCTTTGCGTTAGCATAAATACGTATGTAAGAATAACCATTAAATATTAAGAAAAGCCCTTGTTATTTTCTACCAGACCAGGTCGGTAAAGACTTCAGAATAAGCTGGTGTTCAAAGACCTCTCATGTAGGCAGATTAAATACTGAAGTTTTCTCTGTGATCGACGGCATACAATGCGATGCGTTATTTCTAAAGAAAACCACGTTGGCCCCAATGTGCAACGAAAATCAAAACATTTTAAATACAAGACGTTTCCTGCAGATGCAAAGCTCACACTAATAAAAACACAAAAAGCATAGCTGGCAGGAGCCGGTGAGGCTCCCCCAGTGACATGGCTGTGCAATGAGACATGTGTAGGCTGTCACTGTCGCCGTCTGCCTTGGGCTTCTCACCATGGCCATCAGTCCCGATGCCTCCGCAGAGGCTGCCGTCATGACAGCTGCTTCACGTGAAATGAGGGCTCGGAACCAGGCCTGGCCCTCACGGACCACCATACGAGGACTCTTCTCTCGTGACTGTACTGCTTGTGGAGGACAAACTCCTTTATCCCTAAACATAATAAAATCTCGCAAGGAGAAAGAGGGGCGGGGAGGAGAAAGGGTGTCCTTACTAAACACCCAGCTTTTAAAAATGCAGCAGCCCTGGGGCGCCTGGATGGCTCAGTCAATAAAGCGTCCAACTCTTCATTTCGGCTCTGGTCATGATCTCATGGTTCGTGAGACTGAGCCCCGCGTCAGGCTCTGCGTTGACAGAGAGGAGCCTGCTGGGGATTCTGTCCCTCCCTGTCTCTCTGCCCCTCCCCTGCTCACGTGTGCATGCACACACGCTCTCGCTCCCTCTCTCTCAAAATCAATAAACAAACATTTTTAAAAACGGGGCAGCCCAGGGAGGTTGTCTCCTTCCCCACCTGTGGAGTCAGGAAAGACGGAGGGGCGTCTGGACTCCTGCCCCCCACCTCCACCTGTCTCCCCTGGTAGGTCCCTTCACCCGCGGGGAATTGAGTGGAGAGTCCGGACTTCCAGCACTGCCATCATCACCCCCACCCTGCACCTTAACGTGCCAACGACAGGACTCTCTAAGTACAAAACTCCAAGGCAATGACAAAAGACAAAAGTGAAACCAACTCCTAGAACCAACTAGTGAACTCAGCAAAGCCACAGGGTACGAGATCAACACACAAAAGTCACTCACACATCTATACACACGGCAGCAATGAACACGTAAAAACCGAAATTAAAAATGCAACGCCATTTCCAATCACCCCGAGTAAAATAAAATAGTTAGGATCTGCATGCTGAAAACAACACAAGCTGATTAAAGAAGTAAGTGGAGACACAAACCGTGTTCAGGGATTGAAGACCCAGCATAACAAAGACGTCTATTCTCCACAAACCGTCCTATGGGTTTAATGCAATTCCGATCAAAATCACAAATGAGTTTTTTGTAGACAGGGACAAGTTCATTCTAAACCCTGCGTGGGAGGGAGAAGCGTGACACTTCCGAAAGTAAAGAAGGCAGCGGGAGGGGCCCAGCAGGGTGCAGGGCAGGGAGAGGCGCACAGCGCCCGTGACACCACACAAAGGCGCAGAAGCCACTCTGCGGGAAATTCAATGGTGCTGGAATGGGACACCCACGGGCAAAGAGATGGACCTCGCCCCTAACCTCACACCTCTCACAGAAGTTCATTCAAATGGGTCACAGCCATAAACGCAGAACACACATCTCCGAAACCGTGAGAAGAAAACGCAGGAGAAACCCCCCCGGGGACGCAGGCAGAGGTGAAGCGTTGACACGTGGCCCCCAACACCACCCAAAAAGGAAGACCTCAGCCAAGTTAAAAGTTTTCTCTCCAAAAGACCCTCGGAAGAGGATGAAGAGACAACATACAGGACGGAGTGGGGGAGGGTGTGCAAACCACACATCCAGCATCTCCCAAAGGACTAGCATCGAGGTGGCAGGGAGAACTCGACTCGCCAGTCACCACGCACACGGTCCAACTCTAAACCGGGCCCAAGACAAAAACGGACACCTCGCTGCGGGCACACAGATAGCAGAGAAGCACAGGAAGAGGCGCCCACCTCATCAGCCGTCGGGGACACGTACGTTAAAATCACAAGGAGAGATTATCACACGCCTTCAGAATGGCTACAACGAAAACAGCCGTTAACACCAAATGCTGGCACCGGTGGGGAGAAAATGAATCGCACACACCGCTGGCAGGAGTGGAGCCACCACGCAGCCACCGTGGAAATCGACTGACACAGCTTCTTCTAAAACTAACCATACGCTTGCTGTATCACCCAGTAATTGCACTCCTGGGCTCGTATCCCAGAGAAATGAAAACTTACATCCGCACAAAACCCGTACGTCAATATTCTTGGTGGCTTTATTGGCAACTGCCAGGAACCAGAGATGCTCCAACATCCTTCAAAAGGCAAATGGGGGGCATCTGGGTGGCGCAGTCGGTTAAGCGTCCGACTTCAGCCAGGTCACGATCTCGCGGTCCCGGAGTTCGAGCCCCGC